TTAAAAATAATCAACCAATAACAAGTGCTACAGAAGCTGTGGGGAAAATGGAATTCTTCTTCATTTATGGTGGGAGTGTAGACTGATGAAACCACTGTGGAAATCAGTGTGGAGATTTCTCAAAAAATTAGGATTGGAGATCCCATTTAACCCACCTATTCCTCTTCTGGGTATCTCCTCAGAATTATAAACAAAGTACTACAGCTATATATGTACACCTATGTTTATAGCAGCGCAGTTTGTAATAGCTCAATATTGAAAATAGGCCAAATACATTGATGAAAGAATGATAAAAAGATATGCTTTTTATACAGTGGAGTGCTGCTCAGCAATAAAGAATAATAAACTTGTGACTTCTGTAGTTAATTGGATGTAGCTCGAGACCATACTCTTAAGTGAAGTAAAGCAGACTCTCATGTGCAAACATCATATTGTCTCCCTAGTGTGAGAAGCTAAAAGAGCAAATAAGACCCAGCATGTACAATAGATATTGGAAAATACAGTGCTGTGGAGAGTGGAAACCTGTTCAAAAGAAAACAGAAACTGGAATGAGGGAAAGGAGAAAAAAATTAGGGAAAAGCAAAAAAAAAAAAAAGCAAAAAAAAAGGAAAAGAAAAAGAAAAAAGAGTGTGAGGATTAGGCACATCACAAGAGAGGAGCGCTGACAACTCAGAAGACCTGGACTCGAAGGCTGGCAAGAAGGCTGTAAAGGGAGGGGTGTGACTGAGGGTCTCTTTGTTGTGGCTGTAATAGGAGACTGTCTGCCAAAGTAGCTGAGGGGCAGGGGGAGTGAAGGTGAGCAGCAGGCTCTACTGGAAGGGGCAGGATAGATGGGCTGTTATCCTGCCATCAGCTCGATAGCAGAGGGAGGGGCACTCCCTGTTGGGGGGAAATGTGTTATTAGTTGTTTTTGTAACTGGAAGGGGATGGTGGGGAAAGGCGAGGAGAGAGGGAGCGAAGAAAGAGTGAGGTACCATTTTAGCTTCTGAAAGTTGAGAGGTCAGAAGGTAAAACAGCCCCTGCAGCTTTAGGCTCTGGTAGTGGCCAGTAGCAGCCAGTGACTGAGGCTCTGGGGGCAGGGGCCTGTAGTGAGGCAGTTGGCAGTGGCTGCAGCAGGGGGCAATGGCTCCAGTGGCAGTTCTGCAGGGTGGGGTGTGGGAAAGAAGTTTGGGTGGGCTGTGGGTATAGGAGAGGGGTGTGTCTTTAGAGCAAATGAAGGCTTTTAAGGGATTTTTAACCATTTGCTGCTGCAATAGCAAGAGTTTTAAGGGGTTAAAAGTTTTTTTTTTTTCTTTTGGGGGTTGGAAATGAATATTTTCATGGTGACAGAATTTGAGCTGAGTCAGGCTTTAAGACTTGGGGCAGGGGAGTCCTCAGGGACAAGTGTGGCAGTGTTGCCTCAGAGCGTCTACCACGGAACATGAACACAGTCCATTCTGTCCCCTGGACTGAGAAAAATCTGGACAAGGGCCTGCAGTTTTGGAACTGAGAGGGGAAGCCACTCGTCCTCAGCGAGATACAAGGGTAGTAGCCCTCTGCCAAGGACCATGGGCACAGCTTCCCCTCAATCTGGGACTGAAAATTTTGGTGGGACTCAGCTCACCTGGACTGGTGTTGGATGCAGGCTGGCAACAGTACATAGGCAGGATCCAGAGGAGAGAAGCTTGGGAGATAGACACGGGGCTCAGGACTGCGGGTTTGGCCCCCAGGAGCCTCACATGCTGCCCATCTGGGTCACAGGATGGGTGGGGGCTCGATAGGGGCTTTGACTAAGAGGATCTATTAGGGCTGTAAGATAGGCAGATTTCCTGGTGACTGCAGTGTGAGAGGAAAGCAGGTTAGGGGACCTTGGACTATTTTCCATTGAGGCAACAAAAGTTATCTGAATTAATGAAAGTATCATAATTTAGAGTTCCTGGGGGAGCCCAGATAGTCTCATTGTCCAACTTATATTGTGGCCAGGCTGTTTGGAAGAGAAAAATTAGGCATTTGATTTTGAGGTCAGAGATGCCTAAGGGTTCTCAAGGACAGACTCAAGACAGTTTAGGATAGAAGAATAGTTTTGAGAGAGTATTGAAGAATTGCCCATAGTGGGGAGAAGACAGTGGTGGGGGGGGTGAGAGGAGACTGAAGATGATGGTCTTGTTGCAAGGTTCCCAAAAAGGGACATAGAGCCACAGCTCTCTGAGCAGGCATCCCTGGTCTGAGAGGAGGCCCAGTAGGGGGAAGGAGCGGCTCAGCACGTTGACATGACCTTGACCTTGTAGAGTAGGGCCTGGGCTGGCCGAGAGGCATAGATGAGCTGTCCAGAGTAGAGATAGTTGTCCTCAGGGAGAAATCAGGATGAAACAGAAAAGGAAAGCGCAGAAGAGGATGTCAGTGTCATCTTGGAAGGAATCCTGAAGGAATTCAGAAGCTCTCCATCCCAGGTACAAGTTGAAGGAGTCACAGGGAAGAGGGCTGGAGGCAGAGGCAAGCAGCATTTATCTTCAAGATCTGCAGAGAAGGAAAGAGAAAATGGAAGTACAGAAAGTGATCTCTGGACTAAAGTTTGGAAGGGAGCCTTGGAGACATTCCTCGTTGATAAATTGAAAGGAGTCGACTGTAGGCAGCAAGTCCCAGGGAGAAATGGCTCTCTTTGTTTTCCTTCCTAAACAAGTTGACAATGGGAGAGTTTTGTCTTTTAAGATGGGTTGAATGAATGAAAAGGGAATACTAACAGTTTTGGATGTTGTGGGTGGTTAGGTCAGTAAAGGAGGTCTGAGGCTTGAGGTCCGCTCAGAAGAGCTGGTCACGGACCCGGGCAAGGCCTTGGCATCCCTCCTGGATTTTTGGCACAAAATGTTAGGTATGAACCCATGAAATCAACCAGACTAGGCATTCTGATGCAAGAAGATTTATTGGGGGTAGCAAGTAGGCTGGCTGTCTAGTAGACCAAGACAGCAGCAAACAAAGGGGAGACAGGAGACTTTAAAGGATCCTTTAGGGAGCATGATCGTGGGCTGGAACAGCTGAGGGAGAGCTAATCTTGGCAGGGCTACCTGGCTGTGGGGGACTTTTAATGTTTTTTTGCTTTGTTTTGTTTTGTTTTGTTTTGTTTTGTTTTGTTTTTTTGAGGAAGTGAGGATTGAACTCAGGCCCTTGCCAGGGTAGCGCTTATTCCACTGAGCCATCTCCCTGGCCCCTACTTTTAATGTTTTTTTTTTTTTTGTTTTTGTTTTTTAAGAAAACATTTATTTTTTTAGTTTCTTGACTTTGTGTGTGTGTGTGTGTGTGTGTGTGTGTGTGTGTGTGTGTGTGTGTATGTGTGGCCAGCTCAGCTCAGCCCACCAGGGGGTGTGGCTGGCTGGGATGTGGTGCTGGGGGATTGAACCCCGGTCCCTGTGCTTGCTAAGCTTGTTGTAAGTAGGTGCTTTAGACCACTGAGCCATCTCACCAGCCCCCCTACTTTTAATGTTAACAAAGGAGAGTTTCATGGTTGCTTGCCCCAGTCAAAGTCAGGTGGACCTGTTCTGTGGTTTTGGGTTTGGCACTGCCTGGGGCCAAGGGGGAGAGAGTTCGAGGGCAGGTTGCATTGGAAACCAAGAAGGAGAGTGTTTGGGGCAAGGTGCCTGGGAAACTTTTAATCCTGACCTATCAGTAGGCCTTTTGGGTTTGAGAAGATTTTGAAAAAAGCTGCTTGTAATGCTAAGACCACTGACATTTGAGAGCCATTCCACTGAGCAACTTTAAAATGGCAAGAAATGGGCTGAGGACATAGCTCAGTTGAATAAGCACTTGCTTGGGAAGCACAAGGGTCTGAGTTCAATCCCTGGCTCTGAAAAACAAAAAAAAGCAAGAAAAACAAAGGTCATGATGCTACTTACAGGGGAATCTTTAATGTAATATGATTAAAATTTCTAAGAAATAATACATTCAAGATGATGTCTTATAGTAAATTTTATGATGATATTTATAGACATCCTTGGAATTTCCATCTAAAATTCCTTTCGCTTATGGGTTGAATTCAGATTTTTTTTTTTTTTTTAATGTATTTGGTACAGGTGTCACTGCAAAGCTCTGACTTGTAGTGATCCTCCTGTTTTCATCCTCTCCAGTGCTGGGATTACAGATGTGCACCAGCATGCCTGGTCTCAATGGTCAGCTCAGTGCACCTGGGGGCAGGGTCAACGCATGGTGCCGGGGATCAAACCTGAGTCAGTCCCTGAACTTGTCTAATCAGGCGCTTAGTCTGCTGAGCTATCTCACTGGCCCTGAATTCAGATTTTACCAGTTGTCAAATGTTACCTGAATGAAAACTGATGAAATAAGGATTCTTTTTTTCTTTTTTGCTCCAAATGCCTTCAGGGCAGGTTTGGCTGGCTTGAGTTGTGGGGATTGAACCACAGCAACCTGAGCCTGACTGCTCTGTTGAAGCAGCCACTTCAAGAACTGAGCTAATGGGCAGGTCCCCATGAAAACTGATGAATAAAGAGGTAATCAGATTAGCCAAATTCTCATTTTTGGCTTATCATAATAAAAGTAATATAAAAGATATTTTCTTAGTGGATTTATTTATTTGACTTGAAAACACTTGAAAAATAGTTTTGAACAATGATGATATCACTAGAATAAGTAGCTCCTAGAGTTAACTGCTTTGGAAAACTATCTCTATCTCTATCTCTATCTCTATCTCTATCTCTATCTCTATCTCTATCTCTATCTCTCTATCTATCTATCTATCTATCTATCTATCTATCTATCTATCTATAGTATGAAATGTTCTTACTTGTTTTCATTTAATATACTATTTATTTATTTATTTATTTTTTGCCGGAACCAGGGATTGAACTCAGGCCCTTGCGCTTGGCAGGGAAGCGCTTATTCCACTGAGCCATCTCCCCAGCCTTATATACTATTTAATCTATGTTTTCTCTTTGTGTTGAATCTCTTTAGACTTAAGACTTTTTGCCTTTATTCATTATACCCAGAATTAAAATATTTTTTCTATTAACTGCCAGATATATCGATACAGCCCATACATTGGAGCAAGAAACTCAACTGGGGTTACGACGATTTGAAGTTTGTGACAACATTGACCTTGAAACCATTTTGATGGAATATGAGAGCTATTATTTTATAAAATTCCAGAAATACCCCAAAATTGTTAAAAAGGCATCAGATACAGGTACATGGCTTTTCTCTAGATAATAAGGTTTGATCCCATCATTAAAAATGGTTTCATCTTATTCTCGCATGGTGCCCCTCACCCTGCTCTGTAATAATAGATGAGAATGATCACTTATTCTTCTCTCTTAGACCCAAAGTAAAAAACTTAAACATAATGGCCGGAATATTAATGATCCCTTAGTCAAGTTGGCATTTCTTTGAGAAATGTATGCTGTAGAGGGGTGAAAGCAAAGCCCCAGTGTTTTGCAAGTACTCTTTAGAAGATGAGCATTAAGTTCTGTAGAGATAAGGGCTTTGGTAGAGAATAAATGACAAAAGATTTTTTTTTTCTTGTTAGGAAGACTTATTATCTATCTTGAAAATAACATGAAAATGAGTATTGGTGAAGCTAATAGCTCATGTATAGATAATGAAATGCTTTTGAAAGCCATCAATCCAGATCATGATCAATATAATGCAAAAACCCAGTATAGGTTAGCAGTCAAAGAGGCTGGCTGGAGGGAAGAGCTAAAGCCAGGGCCTTAGGTTATGTAGTAACATTGACTTAGAAGTCTGGAAATGGGGGAAGTAATTATAAACCAAGGGAGATCATTGCCCAGTTTACAAAGCACTTGTTAAGCCACAGATGTTAACATTACATGTAGGGACCAGGAAACCAAGGGGAACATCAAATAAAAATAGCCAGGGCTCAGTCTCAAGAGTTGAAGGGGATCTAAGGGATATTTTATCTGAGCTCCTTTCCATTTCAGGGTTCAGATTGCTTCCTTGGTTAGTTGCTTGATGTGGGCCTATGAAAGCATTGACTCTGAAGCCCAGGGCTACATGCACTGACCTGAGCAGTTATAGTTACTGATGTAATCTGGATTCTAGATGGCTCACCTTGCTTGGTGCTCACATTTTCCTGTGATATTGGGCACAGAATGTCTATTTTAGAGTAAAGAAGCTGGTATGACTCACTAGTGTTCTGTGCCAGACTCACATGATCTTTGTGAGGTGCTGTGTACCCCAGGAGAGTGGTGTCAAGTTCATCAAAACTGTAAAGCCATCCATATTGGAAGTGCGGCCAAGTGTGTAGTCTCCAACATGTTTGCCTAGGCCTAGGAGTCTTTCTCTGAGAGGAGAGGCTTGGGAAAACTGGATTTCTTTCTTTTCTCTGAAAGTTTCATTTCTCTCTAGGTCACTATATCTAAGCCCTAGTTCAAAAAACTGTAGTGCATATGTTAAGAACAATATAAAAGGGGAAACCTATCTGAAAAATTACTTTGTCTTAAAATTAAATTCTTTCTTTTTCTTCCCAATGTTTATTTTGTCACAGAAGAAAATAATTTACTGCCAAGAAGTGGAGGGAAGACCAAAAGGTAAAGTGAATGCTAATTCATCTTGATCAACTCAACCCTAAGAATCTGTGGGATCCTTTTCCATAGGATTCTGCTGTGTACTTCCATAACTGTCTACCAGTGACACTTCTTGTGGCCTTGCAGCTTTGGTGGGGCCAGCTATGGTATCCCCTTAGCTTATAGCCATTGAAGACTTGGGTCACTGTCTGTCACTTCTCCCTGTTTATGGAAAACAACTGCAACCAGGGATGCTATCTTTCTGGGTCACATGTCATGGAAAGTTTGAACTTCAGAAAGACTGAAACCTAGTCCCTGGCCATGCTCTTATAAGCAATTTTATGGCATATAGTGTGTTCCTGAAACACTGTGATCATACAATAAATTGTATTTATTCATTTGTTGTGGTGGTACTGAGGATAGAACCTAGAGGGCCCTCACACTTTTTTTTTTTGCAGAACCAGGGATTGAACTCAGGCCTTTGTGCTTGCCAGGCAAGTGCTGATTCTACTGAGGCATCTCCCTGGCCCACCCTCCACTTTTTGAATTTTTTTATTATTATTTTGAAATGTGCCAAGATGCCCAGGCTGAACTCAAACTTTTGATCCTCCTGTCATAGCTTCCTAGAGTGCTGAAATATTTTCCCTTTTAAAGCAGTATCTGTCATTTCTTTGGGGACTGTGTGAAAACAACCAGTAATCCTGGAGATCAGGACATGGTCTGTTTCCCTGGGCTGGTTGGCATGGACCTGGCCTTTCCTACCTGTCTCTTGGTTTTTTCTGGCTTCTCATAACTCTGCTTCTTTGGGACTTGGGGTACCTGATGGGAGTGCTTTCTGTCCCTTGAATCTTCTGGGTGGATTCTCCCACAAGACCCCCAACCCTGTGCCAGTATCTTCCCCATTCCTTATTCCCACTCCCAACACGTACACCCTTGTTGTTATGGCTGTTAAGAAATACCCAGTTGCTCCTTCTGAATGGCCACTTTTGGGGCTGTAGGAACTGGGGATTTAGAGTATCCTAATAAAGCCTAAAAATCTCAGGGGTAGTAGTAGACACACAGGCCCTGAGGCAGTCAATAAAGTTTTTAAAAAATGCCTAGAATATAATTCAAAAAAGAAAACTTAGATTGAGATCACAAGCAACTTATTGGCTCTAAGAGATGTACATTCTATGTGTCCTACCCAGTCACCTGCTGTTACAAGTCCAGTTCCCCATCTATAGCCTGAGAAGGAAGGGAGCAGGACGTGTCCACAGCACTCATAGCGGCCCTTGTGCTCATGCATTCTTCAGGATAATGCTCATGATGGTGCTCTGCCTAAAGAGGCTGTTGCTTCAGCTATTCTTTAGGAATGGTTATGTCATTTTTACAAAAGTATTATTCAGTTATTTATAGTTTCCATAAAGCTAGTCAGACTCTTGTAACAAATGGTAACTGCCTGTGAATAGCAACAGTGAGGAACAATTTATGAGCTTGGCTTTAGACAGTATTTAGATTCTGATTGTTTTTCAGACACATATTCTTCCCTGCAATGTCCTCAGTGTTCTTTCTCTAACAGACGTTCTGTGAGCCAGTGTTGTTGGGGAGTTTGATTCCCCTTTGGGGATGTATCACAGTGGCCTAGGTGACAGCTGTGCTCTGAGGAGACGTCGGCACATGGCAACCCATAAAGGTTGGACAGCAAATGGTTAGATTCAGGAAAGATAATCAGGAAAGCAGTGAACAATGTTTCTATGCACAATTGTATAGTGAGCCACTTCTAGTCCTCAGCACAGCCCAGAAAGTTTACATTTGTAATCCCATGGGTGAGTTATTGGAATCTCATTAAGCTAATTCCATCCTACAACTTCAGTGCAATCCACGGTGAGAATAAAGGCGCTAAAGCATATTTGTAGCTATGGGAGCCAACGGGTCCTAAGTCCAGCCATGATGGCGGCTATCTAGAACAAAGACCTCCACCCAAGGCTGAACCCAGGTTTTATTTATTCATGAGGAAAAGAGTGGCTTGAGGATGAGTGACTGTGAGAATGGTGAGAAGGAGGTGAGTGCCAGGAGCTGGGCTAGGTAGGAGGCCTGCATTTACGTCTGCAATATATAGAGAGAAGGATATCCAGAAAGAGTAATCTACATTATACAGTTGAGATAGAATCTAATGTTTTGGGGTTGGTGCTGCAGCTCTGATGTGTAATCTTTCAAGTCCCAGGAAGTCATAGGCTCCATTCCAGCTGACAGCATGGAGCATTGGCTCTTCATCCAGTATCAGAGCAGTAAGTCAGGGCTTCCAGGAAAGTACACCTGCTGTTTTCAAAGACTACCACCAGTACCTCAGCTGGAATGATATGTATTGCTTAAGGCCAGTTGAAGGGATAAGGAAAAGTCATAGCTAGCTCTGTACCTGTCAATACATGAAAATAGGTCAGCCTCAGCCAAGACAGAGACAATTGCTTCTCTTTCAAGGAGAGTCGCCCAGGTGGTCCTCTATACAACTGTATCCTCAAAGATCACTGAATGAGAGGTTGTATCATGATACTGGTTGTTAGCAAATCACATTGTCTTAATCTTGCATCACACACCAGAAAATGTACTTCCACTTTGCAGGTTGTCTGGTGACCCAAGGGAGGAAAGGTATCTAATGTGATAGATGACAGAATTGGAGTCACAAAAGGCCTTAACGATTTAGGGGATGGGCTCAAAGTAACAAGATGAAATTTAGTGGAATAATGTCTAGGTCCTAACAAAAGATTCTCAACAAAGAGTTCCCCCATTATAGAACAGAGACCTAGAAATTCGAGTGAACTGCAGGTGCCAGCACCTGAATCAGCATCACCTGAATGTGATGTGCCTGGTAATGGGGCCTCAGGCCTTATCAACAGAAATACACTACTCAAAAAGTAGAAGGTTAATCTGTGCAGGTCTGAAGGCAGTAAATAAATAAATAAATAAATAAAATGATGAGAAGGGATCTGGGAGCCACATAACTTTAGGGATGACTGGGCCAACTGGAACTATTTAGCTGGAACAGAGGACTTGGGGATAGTGTCCTGAGACAATGCAGTTACCATCTTCACCCTCTAAAGGGCAACTGGGCCTTCTCTGCAGATCTCAATTGGGTGAACCTAGGACTGGGACCTAGATTTAAAACTGAGAGAATTTGGTTCCATATTTGGGAGAATTTTATAATTAGAGCTGATTGAGAATAAATTGCCTTACTTTGCACATTAGTGCTTTGGTCTTTTGTTGTGTTAAAGTAAATGTTTTGGGTCAGGTGTACCTAGTGGGAAATCAGAATAGAAAAATAGAGCTCTTATTCCCTGCCAGTCCCATAAGGGTACTGGGACAGATAGATAGATAGATAGATAGATAGATAGATAGATAGATAGATAGATAGATAGATATAGATCTCATATAATGTATTTTATTAATAAGGGTTTGTTTTCACAAAATGCTTTATGTTCACTTCATAGTTATTTCATTTTTGTGCCAGCAGGTGGTCCAAAATACTGATATTCTTATTCCTAGTTTACAGATGAAAAC